TTGAAAATGGCAGCATCAGTGTGTCCGTATTTCACAATACAAGCACTGTGTTGTATGAAAAAAACTTACAAGTAGTGATTGAGTCCAGTAGATGTCACAAATGTCACCCTCTGCTGCCCGTGAGAGAGGATGCAGATGTTCTTAGCCATCATTGATATACAGTCTGTGCTTGTTGGTTGTTGGAAACACTAATGGAGAGAAATGCAAACAAAGCAGGAGGACTGGAAGGTGGCAGATGATTTTTATCGGCACCTAAATCTGCACCGACTTCTTCACAGGGGCCTTCAGGCGACGGCAAAAATCACATACAGGACGATCCTGCAGGACAACCTGGTGAGATCCACACCCATCTCAGTTGTTAGCACCCTCCAGTGGTGAGTGAACAGATGACAGGCTGAGCTGACAGTGAGCGCATTGCTGCTGTGTGTTCGGGCAGGGAGCCACGCTCACGCTGTGGTCCAGCTGCGGGCGGTCGAGAGGAGGTCGCTACGGGGAGTGGCAGGGGGTCATCTGCACCGGCGAGACCAACTCTCAGGTCCAGGTGGGCAAACACGACACAGTCAAACACACGTCTGCTTTTAAGCTGCTGCATAGGAGCCGAGTGAGTAACTCGTGTTGGAGCCTAAACCTCTGACTTCCTACTTGTCAAGATAACCCGATTAGATGGAACGGTACAGAATTAGAAATATAAGCTAATTTATCTGGAAGACTTTTCTTGTTTGTGATGTAGAGGAATCCGTGTTGTTGCTGCTTCACAGAAGTACCTGCAGCAGCTGTGGGACACCGTCCTCCTGGTGGCTCTGATCCTCAGCACAGGAGTCATCGTTCAGGCTCGCTGGCAGTACCAAGGCCGCCAGCTGAACGACGACTTAGAGGTAGACAATTATGTTTTTTATTTAAAATTTGCTTTGGCACAGCCCCTCGGGTCGTCCCCCCCTTTTTAAGCCAACTTTTTCTGATTGGCTGCTCCTTTCAAATAAAAGATTCAAACAGCAGCAACTGTTCCTGAGGTATCTGCTCTCAGGAACAGTTGAGAGCAGATATTTTTAAATGCTGGATGCCTTCCTGATGTAACCTCAGTGTGTGTGTGTGTGGCTGGGAGTGAATCGGCGACCTTGCGTTCATTAAGCAAATGTGTAAACTTCCGCAGTACAGAGGCTCGAGGCAAAGAGCACAGCAAAGCAGCCTACACAACACAAAAGCTGTCTGTGAGGAGAACTTTAAGTCAGGCCTCTGTCGTGCAGTTTCAATTAAATTTTATTTATATAACACTAAAATCACAACAACATTCACCTCAAGTCATCCAATACTATGAGCTAACGTCTCTACAATTACACCCACACAGAAATAAAAATCAGCGGTACATGAGATGTTCTGCTGGCTACTTCTCTCACCCCAACCGGTCGCAGCAGATGGCCCCGCCCCTCCCTGAGCCTGGTTCTGCCGGAGGTTTCTTCCTGTTAAAAGGGAGTTCTTCCTCCCCTCTGTCGCCAAAGTGCTGCTCATAGGGGTCATATGATTGTTGGGTTTTCTCTGTAGCATGAAGCACCTTGAGGTGACTTTTGTTGTGATTTGGCGCTATATAAATAAAATTGAATTGAATTGAATTGTGTTTTTCAGCTCCTTCCCAAACAGGACGTTCTGAAGAGGATGTCATCCCTGAAGACCAAACGATACCGTCAGCCCAAACCCTGGTGTGACCCGTCGCAGCTGGCAGAGGCGGAAACCTGCGCCGTCTGTTTGGAGCCTTTTAACAACAACCAGGTCAGCCGACACCCCCCCCCCCCACACACACACACACACACTATAACTCTGTTTAATTCAGTAAGAAGGGAGTGACTGTGAATGATGAGAGTAAATAGTCAAACACGCTCTGCTTTTTGGCTAACTTTGTGATTTAAATAAATAAGGCATCTATAAAATGTCGTCTCAGTGTCTGCGGGTGCTGCCGTGTCTTCACGAGTATCACAGAGACTGTGTCGACCCCTGGCTGCTGCTGCAGCACACCTGTCCTCTGTGCAAGCGCAGCATCCTCAGTGAGTTTACACACTCGTACACGCCTCTGTCATCCTCTTGTAAAGGCTTAAAATTACTTGTAGTAAAACACTTTAAAAGATCAGCCTTCTTCCACTGCAGACTAAAGTCTCAAGTCTTTGTCAGTCTAATCGTTTTCACGACCGGGACTGAAATGTGTGTCTGAATCTTTTCCTCTCCAGGCAGCATCTGCAAAGACAGCTAACAGTCGTTTCATCTCGGGGAGTCTGTTCACATCCCGACCTCAGTGACACTTATTTTTTGTTTTTGGTTAAAGCGACCTCAACACTTCCTCCTTCCAGCTGTGGATTTGGGAGCATAAACTTGTCGTCGCTGCTGACCGGCCATCAGATTTTAACCTCTACAACATACAGTGGTAGTTTAAAGCAGTACTACAAAGTTCCCCACTGGTCGTGTTATCTGTGAACAGAACTTCTTCTTGAGATCTCGTTACTGTACAACTCTGTGTGTAAACAGCAGCAAATGCAACTGTTTCTGGGATCAGTGTGTGTAAAAACTGCCAACCTCAGTATCTGAGTCAGCTGCTGGTGCAAAGGCGTTCAATGCTTTTATGTTTTTAGTGTGGATGTACTGATCACCTGGTTCACTTTAGGTCAAAATGATGTCAGTAACCAACAACCAGGGAGGACTGAAAGTTTAAAAAATGGTCGTCTTTGGTACTTTGCAGTTCAGTGGTAGTTGTAGAGCTTCTGTAGTCGTAGTGCAGGAGTCAGTGTGTACCAGCTGGTATCATGTAGGGAAAAAAACACATCCTTAAACTCCTCCTTGACCATTTTATTTATTTTTCCTGCGATTCTCCTTTAATCATGCTTAGCATACATCAGCAGCCAGTTTAGTTTCAGCTGCACAATCAGTGATGCTGAACAGGTAGGATTGTGTTTGCAGCATAGAAGGATATTGTCCCTTTTTATGAAGCTCTGTGTAACGAGTGCTGTCACAGCCGCTACAGTTTTACTTTACAAATCATAGATTTGTAAAGCTCTTATTTTCCATTTAAATGAATTATCTTTGGGAAATTTGAATTCTGCAGTTTGATGAGAAGAATTCCACTCGTGTTTCTAAGATTTAAAGAAAAGAAAAAAAATGAAGCCAGACTGAAATGACAGCAAGTCTGGCTGCATCCTAAAGAATCAGAATACCAGAACCTCGTCAGCTTCATGGCCCATCCTCTTTCCTTACCAATGAGCTGCAGGGCTGCTAATTTGGATGTAGCCTGTGGACGGGCCTTAAATCTCTCTCTCCTCTGTGGCTCCAGAAAGAGTTCTGGTTGCATAAAAATCTACTTAAAATTACCTTCAGCTCTTTCTTTGTTAGCTTTCATAAACCCTGTTGTCACTTTCAAGTCTTATTGAATAAAACGTCAGGTAGTGGGCAAACAGCAGTTTATGCAACAGGACTTTTGTATACAGTCTGTGCTCCACCCAGAATCTGCAACGGGTGGGGAAGTCGCTCACATGTTGACACACCAGGTTAACTGAGGCATCAGGACAAAGTCTGTTAACAGCTGTAGTCCAAAAGCTGGTGTTGGAGTCTGTCCACAGGACTCAGAGGAAAACGAATGAAACGGAGGACCGACATCACGTCCTGTCCAATTCTGAAATCACAGAAACCAATCAGGGCCCGAGGCTTTTGGACAGGTCAGGGTTAACTGGTTAGAATTGACTGAACATTGCATGTAACGCCTTCAAGGGTGGGGTTGTCCGTCCATCTCTTTTTCAGAACAGTTTATCCAATTCAAGGTTGGAGGGAAAGTCCAGATGAAGTGAGCTCTTCCTGTCAAAAGGGAGTTCTTCCTTTCCACTGTTGCCAAGTTCCGCTCGTAAGAGGGTCATCTGTTTTTTGTCTTTGTCTTTTTAGTTTTCTCTCCCAGAGGTTTACCTAACAATAATGTATATATACACTTAGATATGGAAATTAAACTGAACTAAATCCACTGCACAACCATTTTTACATTTTCGATTACAAGCCAAGACTATTGAGTTAATGACGTGCAGAGGTGCTGACAGGCAGATTTAATCATGTTTGGACATAGTTGAGTTTTGGTTTTTTTGTCCCCGTGTTTGATGTAAATGGCAGTAGGTTCGTACAATTTACTAACACAGTAACAACATTCTCACCTGATTTTAAGTAAAAATGTCAAACAGCTCTTCGGAAGACGACATATCCAAACTGTGATTAAAGTAAATCTCTGCAGTGCAGATTGTGGACTCTGAAGTGCTGAAGCACAGAAAGGAAGCAGCGTACTTACCAAAGCTGAAGATAATTATCACCGTTTTTACTCTGAAGTGTGTTCCTACTGCAAAACGGGAATTTAAATCTAATTATTTCCAAACTTTGCCAATAACCACAAACTCAAAGTATGTTAAACATATAGTTTTATTGTATTTATTTTGTGATGTTTTTTTTGCAATGCCAACTCCAAAAAGCATAACTTTGTGCTGAAATTGTTACAAAAAGCTCATCGCTGAATAGAAAATAGCGTGTGCATGGCAGTGTGTAGGAGGTTCTCCACGAGGATCATCCTTGCAGAAAGTGCTTCCAAACACAAACGACAGCATCGTTATGAGTTGGAGTTTCCTCATTTATGGTGAAGTCTGGACAGCAGTGGCGTGAGCAGAGTAGATGATGATACACGCGTGCAGCAGCTTTCGCACATGTTCGAACAGGACGAGTCGGCCGCTGAATTCCAGACTTGATCTCCAGGTCAGTAATTGTTCTTCCAGCTACAGAAGGAACTCCCGAACGTCTCCTCCTTTTATTCCTATGTAGTCTGTTTGTCGATGATGATGATGTCAAAGAAACTTTGTTAGATCACTCTGGATCGTAATAATAAAATGATTTGTTACATGTTATTCTTTATCGTCAGTCCTTCGCTCACACTTGATGTTTATTGAACTATAGAATAAAATCCTTTGGGCTCAAACACGACACAGATCTCTCAACTATTTCAGTAAAGCTTGTTGGCAACTTTTAATAAAAGAAAAAGCCAAAATGCAGTTTTACCGAAACCATTCTGAAAACTAACGAAATCTGTGACGGCCTTCACAGTGACTGGAACCTGAACCACAGTCAAACCAGAACCACACCAGAGCCCAGATCCTTCAGCTTTCACGCACACCTCATCCTCCCCTTCTCCCATCAGTCCATTGGGGTTGAGCCACAGGTCAGGAGGGGATCATGCCTTTGTTCCTCTTGCGGTCGGCCATGCTGCGCCGGTTGTGGTTGGCTACACGGCTCTTGTTGGTCTCCTTCTTTCGCCGGTCCTGTAACGTCTCAGTGGTTTGTCCTTGTCCTTTGGGTCGGCCAGCCACGTTGCTGGAACGCTCTGGCCGGAAGCTGCAGGAGGGAAGACGTCACATATTTTCAAGAACATGTTGGATGGAAACAGCTGAGCAGAGTGAACCTGCGCAAACTGAGCATCGTCTTTACCCTTTCCTCTGCTGCATGGCTGCTCTTCGAGCCTCGGCTCGCTCCCTCAGCACAGCCGGGTCCTGCACGAACTGGTCCCTGTTTACAGCGCTCTGAAATAAAAGGAAGTGACAAACAATAAGACACGGACTGTCCAGGATTCTAGAAATGTGGTGGTGCAAAGCCGATCACGGGGGCTGAGGGCAAATCATAAATAACCAAACCATTTAAATGCTGAAACTTCGGCAAGTTAAATCATATATGGAAAGTGTGACTTCTGCGTAATAACAAGGCAGCTGTGAGGTAACAGATTATCATCAACATTTTCTAAACTCCATCATCGCACAGCATTAAAGATTTCAAATCCAATCAAATGATCTCCGTACCTTTGAAGCATCTTCCTCTTGATCGTCTTGATCGTCCTCCTCGTCTTCTTCCTTGTTTCCTTTTCTCAGTACCTGCGGTACCGTGAACGGCCTGCAGAGGAACAGAAATTAATTCCGGCTCGCTGCGTCTCCACTCCATCATAATCAGCGACACCAAAGATACCTTCTGGTCAGTAAAGAGTCTCCGTCTAGGTCGTTGGCGCCCACTTGGTTCATGTCGTAGGTGTCGTCGTACTCGTCGTCATAGTCGTCCAGCTCGTAGGCCGTCGCGGATTCTCCGGGTTCGACGATGACCTCGTCCACCACTGTCTCGTACGTGTGATAACGAGCTTTCTGCTCCGCTATGTGCCGCTTGTCGTTCAGCATCTCCCGAACGTTCTCACCTTTCCTGCAGGAAAACAAAGCGTCTTTAAGGGCACGCAGAGTTTGAGTTATGAGCCAAACATCCTGAAATAAGAGCAGCATGGAAGTGAACATCTGAACATATTACTCTGGACCTGGTAGATTTGACACTGAAAACACGTACACTTTCTTTTTTTAACTTCCCGATCGGTGATTATCTCGGTGTGCTTTTACCTCCGGCCCTTCCAGACGCGGGACATGTCCACCTGCTCTCTGCGGAAGACGTCAAACTCGTCGCCATCAAACACGTTGGATCTGTTGTTCAGAACAGCCGGAAGCTCCTCCTTCACTGGCCTAAAAGAGCCACGACAAACATGATAGCATAAAACTCTACAGTGATCTAAAACTGATCAGCACAACCCAGACCGTGTGTACTTTTCTACTCAAACTATAAGATCACTAAACACCACCCAGAGAACCGAGACTGAGGCACACGAGCCCCAAACATCAAAACTGCAGACTCAACAAAAACATGAAAAGAAAAATGTGTGCAAAACATTTGTCGTCCTGCTGCCCTTGGAGGTTTTTCTCTGCATCAGATGTTTATTAAAGTTGCTATAAATATCTTCTGTAGGCACACCGTGCACATTTTTATTCCAGAACAATGACTCTGTTTTCATCTGCAGCTGTGTTCAGATGTGGCGTCCCTGAAACATCTGTCTGCACCTGAAACATTCAGGATTCATTCTGCCACATCCCATTCTACTTCCTTTAGATGTGAAGGCTGGAAAGGTCAACTTAACTCACAAACTCAAAGCAGTTTGACATAACTTTTGCTTTGTGGTGTGCAGGTAATGGAAAACTGTGGCTATTAAGGTTGGGAAGTATAATTTGCAGCATTAAAAACACGAATGAAGATAATAAAACATTTGTTTCTGCACTATTCCACCAGCAGCAGTCTGGACTGTTGGCACAAACCAAGCTGGCTCAGATGTACTGACCCTGTGGTCTCAGCAGAAATGGAGCAGCCTGTTAGCCCACTGCAGCCTCTCAGTGACAGATTTCATATGATCCCATATTATTATGGATTACGTCATAAGTAAAGTACATAATCAAATTATCTAGATAAAGAAATGTTATGTTAGACACTGCTATAAATGTCAGATCACAGAGCAGATGATAAATATCAGCATTATGTATAAATCTCGGTGTGTTACCGTGGCATGGCTCGGTCCAGTTTGGCCAGATTGGGAGCTAACCGGTCCTCCAGGATGTTATTGATGACCAGCTCGGAGTTGTAGTTGTATTCCTTCAGGCATTCCAGCAGGAAACCTTCACCCAAATCAGGAAGTAGGTCCCTGATACACGACAGCAGAGACTCCAGCTCCGCCCCGATCACTGGACACACGGCGCCCTGAAACCACGTCAAAGGCAGGCTGTTTTTAGACTCCATCGCAGTAGCTTTGCTGACCTAATTATTTAAAACTTTGGCCATTTTAACAGGATATATAGGACAGAAAATAAGGAAAAATCTCTGGGCTGCTATAATCGTGCATTGAGCGATAACAATCAGAGCTCACATTGTTTCCTCTTTGGGGGACATCCAGCATGGCCTCTGCTCCCCTCGTACTCTCTCCTTCTGCTGGCTCTCTGACCTCCTGAGGTTTAGAGCCAGCCAAAGAGGAAGCAGCAGCACCAGCTGCTGGTTCCCGATTGGCCGATAGCGATGCAGAAGCTTGAGCCTGACTAGTCCGAGTCTGGCTTTGTGGTTTCCGTCGCCCCACGCTGTCCCAGGCACTTTCAACTCCCTGGAGCAAGTAGGACGTCCTGGTCTCATCACTGAGGCAAAAGGTGGTTAAGGAAGGTACCGAGGAAAACAGTCACTTTATCATCCAACGCTAAGACCCAAGTCTGGCTTTGAGATTTAAGATCCATCCCATCATCCATCAGAGCAACAGTCTGAACCCTAAGAAGCTTAAATATTACAATGGAAGACGATAAGGGATGAAACAAATTCTCATGTTTTTTAATTACTTAATTAAAAAAACATCACATAGTGCAATAATGCCACTGTTGAATATATAAACTGTATTATCCCCAGTTAAAGTTAAAAGTCCTTCATGAAATGAAAATGCGTCACCATAAGTGGCCAAATGAGCGCTCCTGGATCTCACTTCAATTACAAACACTGTATTTCTATTCTGAGCTGAGCCCACGCAGCACACACTCGCTCAGCTCAACAGATAAATGCTCCAACATTATCATAAATCTGCTGATAAACTACCATCTAATGTTCCTGCTGTTACCAGAACACGTAAAACAGCCCGGAAATATAATAAAGGAGGAAATCCGATCACTTTATCACTAATTAATAATAGTAGGATAAATTGTACATCCCTTTATGTAAACGTAGTAATCAGTGATTTGGTATTTTAGACTTTTCTCTTTACGGTGGACGTGAGAAATGAACTTCCTCTCTGCCTCTTTATCTCTCACCCACAAATATGCATATATTCTGATTGTGCCGCACGCTTTATTTTACAGCAATCGGATGGTGCAACACAACCCACACAATACAACCGAGTGTGGTTTATTTCTGGAAGTTGGTGTTTTCTAGTGACTGCCTGGAGTGTGGTCCACTGGAATACCAGTCCTTCCATAACTGCACATATGAATGCAGATATAAACTTAATGCAAACCACAGTGGTGGTCTCTTTACATTTTGTTAATGGCATTAGTGAACTTTGAAACAGGGTCAACTATTTTAACTTAAAATGAGTACGTCTAAAACCAACATAGCTCACAGGGAAAGCCAACAGTGAAGGCTCAGCAGTTTTCTGAGGCTTTCAATGCTTGCTGTAGCAACAGCTTTCTTTGTACGTTTGAAAATCGTGGCCATGTGTTGTTGAACTGTTTGCGTGAGTGCTTTCAGGCTACTGTTAGTCATAACAGCCTTTAGAAATGTCCTGCTGTGAAGCGCTGAGGATACATGACAGGGACGGCCTGCTGCAGGAGGCTGATGTCGTCTGCAACAGGGAACTGCTCATCGTAGTCCGTCAAGAATCTGGAAGGAACAAGAAACAGATGCTAAATTTCAGTTTTGATGACATATTTCTCATTACAGCAGCACTCAGAGAGTTCAAGCAAAAACCAGAATAACCCGTATACTGAACGACAAAACACTGAAAAGGTTTCAAACTTTCCAAAAACAATCAGCTCACACAATAAGTCAGTGTGAATAACTGATGAAATTCAGTTTCTCTGTTAATTTTAATATTTCATTATTTACTTGCAAAGTTGTTTGAACTTTTTTCTTTGTTGTTTGAAAACGTGCTTATTATAATATTGGCTTATAGTCTGAGATAAATTACTAATCGTCCATCTCACCTTTTCTCAGGTAAAAATGATGTGAAATATTGCAGCAGTTCCTCTGCAAATGTTTGCATGTTTTCTCTCCTGCGAGGAAACCAGTAGAAGTTTTAATGGGTGTGTCTGTTTAAACGTGTAATGCTAATCCTGCTAATCTCCATGCAAAAACTCTGGGCGTCTCACCCCTCCAGGATTGGTTGTAGGCAGGTGTGGTGCAGCAGCAGGTGCACCGTCTCCACCATCTTACGACAGGAGTGAGACAGCCTCTTCCACAGGTCCTCCTGAAGACTATAAGAAAGTTTGTCATCGCTCAGGTGTTAAGCGTTTCCCCTCGCACTTACATTCCTGTTTGGTTTTGTCTTTACGCAGCAGACGCTCACCTTTTATCGTCAAAGTTTCTCTTTCTGATCGCCTTCTCGAGGTCAGGCACACCGGTCTCATAAAACGAGGTCAGACTGCCAGCAGAGAAAACACAAAGATCGTGAGAAGGTTTTATGGAGGTACGACTCCTGGTAAACTTTCAGGGTAACTACCTGCTGAGGAAGCTGTGGGACTGGAAGCTGGTGCAGGCTGCGGGGAAGATGTCCAGGAAGGCATTGATGGTGGTGGTTGAGTCACACAGGTACAAAATTATATCTAACAGTTCCTAGGACAGAAATTATAAAAGATATTATCAATCAGAACACCTTCTGTAGAACCGTAGTCAGCCTAGTAGTTAAGCCAGTTGCACCACCGAGGTACAGGCCTTTATCTTGAAATGACTGAGCAAAAATCTGTTCCTATAATAACGACCTATGTTTAGCAGGCTGGAGCACTAAAGGTGAGGCACGGCTCATAGACAGCTGGCTTTTAGATGGAAGAGATCCTTAGAGATCCTGGGTGAACAGAAGGTTATCGTGAGCTTCTGAATCTGAGCTCTATTTGAAGAGAGCTGCACGACACTGTGAGACTGTGACCAAACCAGTGAAACAAACTGATTCTTGTAGGTTCTGTAATCTTTTTTTAACCTTAATCCCAATGAAATCGCCTTTTCTTCTGCTTTTCTTCTGCTTATCATCCACAGCTGCTACAAATGAACATGACAGCATGTGTTTTTTTAAAACAGCGACAGGAAGTGACCCACTGTACTCAACAAAAAAAAAGAAACAAGTTTCAATCCTTCTTTCACACCTTATTTAGCAGCAAATAAACTGGACCAACCTTTATGAAAGGGGCGGAGATAATACCATCCCGCAATTCACAGCGACTCACACGATTCGGAGAACCGACAGTTAAGATGGTTTTAATAGGAAGGATATCATTTCCCTTTCAGCACAAACACGATGTGCCAATAAGGACTTTGAAAATCTGCATCTGTTCAGTCGAAGGCTCGATCGTAGGAAGATGGACCACTTCATAAACTCAGCTTCAGCCTGCACAGCTGTGTCACTTTCTTTTAGTTAACTGAGAGAGCCAACCTGATGTGGTCTCCTTCATGGATCTCAGATGTTTCAGTATTTTATTTATTTAACTGCATATTGTTACACATCTGTCTGACTGACCTGCTGGCTCATGGTCATGGCAGTGGGTTTTTTGTGTGCATTCAGCTTCATTGGCTCTGCAGCGGTGGCTCCTTCACACTGGAGACCACACTTCTGCAGGACCGTGTCAAATACCTGAAGTTGACACAGTGTTAAAAGTTAAAAGCGCATTCAAATATTCTCCGACAGAAACAATGTGCTTTTCATTTGGAATTGTGACATTTGGATATTTTTCAGCGAAATGCAAAAAGCGGGCTCTCGCCTGTAAAACTGTGGCCACCGTCTCATCCAGGTCGTTGTAGTAGGACGGCTGCTGAGTAAAGATGTTCTCTGAAAGGCCGTCATGTTGAAAGTGAGCGGAGTGCAACAACTGGCATGAAACATAAATAAGATGTCACACACAGCTCACCTATCATCTTGTGCAGCAGCTGGCCGTTACCCTTTCCAAAAAGCACACAAAGATCCAGAATTTTGGGAATGTCAAACAGAAAGTTCTCGTAGATGATCTCCCCAAACACAGCTGGGGTAAAGAAGTGTTCCTGCAGGGAGGTGGAGGAAGTTAAGGTTTCGTACTGCGCTACTTTATGTCACCACCAACGTCAGCCCATAAGACCCGCTGAAGATCTAGTTTTCCTACCTTTGATTCTTTATGCGTGGCCATACGGAGGAAGGTCAAGAAAACCGCTTTGTGGATGGAGCGTTGCATGTCAGCCACCGCCGGGGAGGAGGGTAGCGTGGAGAGATCGAGGCCACGAGGAGCGTGACGCAGGTAAGAGTCCAAACACCTCTGCAGGGACTCATCAAACACCACCTGATGGGAGAGACAGGCCACGCGACATCAGGAGGAGAACGTCTTCTAGCATCAGCACCATTTCCTACACGTGAGTCACCAGAAATCTAAACTGCTACCCGGCTCCAGAGGACGCCTGCAGCTGAATGACAAATGTGCACCTGAATGTGGCATCGATGTTAAAGTCTTACAATTACAGCAAGAACTATTCTTGACCCTTCGGCACCTGAAGGTCATGTCTGATACCATCAGCCTCTCTCTGCACTCCTTCCTGAGTCTTTTCCTCTTGACTTTTTTTTGTGCATCTTCTGAGCCGTCGGTCATTCACCATTTTGGCACCTTTTTCATTGAACAACAGAGATTCCTCTGTTTCCTTAAACTAACCTGGTAGCTTATTAAAGGCTTCTCTATTTACCCACACATGCTGTACATGGATTTATTACAGTTCCATAAAAATAATCCTGCTTTTATTATCTAAGAGGCACTGAGACGTACTGAGACGCGCTCTCAGGACATTTTCCACAGATTTGAACCAACTGCCTTCTGTGATCCAGACAACAGCTTTCCTACTGTCTACTGTTATGTTTGTACTAATGTTTATAGAGTTTTTATTAATTTTATTATTACAGTTTTTTGCTTTTATATAATTATTTTATATTTATCTTTTTAATTGTATTTACATTTTTTATGTATTCATTTATTTGATTGTTTTAATCTTTATTATTTTTATCTGTTCACAATTTTCTTGTGTTTTTTTGACAGTTTTCGTCACAAACTGTTAACATGTTTCTGATAACAGAAACAGATCAATGTAATACTGGTCTATGAACACTGCATCCATAGGCCAGGATCATGTGACATTACTATCTGCTAAAGAGCAGGTGTGTTTGAAGCATTAGTCTTTGTGTTGCACAAAATAAAACACAGGCAGTCCTGCAGAGCGCGAGCCGTTGAGTTTTCTCTACATAACACGTTGACACGACTGTACCTGACACCAGAACTTGTCGTGAGGCAATGCAAGCAGCCACTCCAGGTCCTCTGTGATGAATCTGGCATGTTCTAAAAACTCCTCCACGTCAGCTGGAGAGCCGTCTTCTGGAGGGGGCTTGTAAGGCACGAAACAGCGCTCCTCTGTCCTGTCTGGGTGCTGATGGATGGCAGAAAGCACAGGTTGGGATCCTGGTCAGTATGAGAGGTGAGCAGCTGTCTGAGTGAACATTAGCATAAAACCATCAGTGCCGACTCACCAGTGCAGGCAGCGTGCGCTCCTTTCCCAGAGGGCCAGGCTCGGTCACTTGCTGCTCATCCAGTGGCACTCGAGCACAGGCCATGGCTGCTCCTTCTCTGGGTTCTTCTGATGGAGTGTACAAAAAAAAAAGTACATTTTACTGGAGGTAGCTACATTATTAGTAGTAGTAGTACTTTTAAAGCAAAACTCCTGGACTTCAGCCCGTGACGGCAGTCCTTGATCAACGCATTGACCACTTCCTGTAAGGACTATCATCACCTAATGCACTCAAAGACAGCAGAGTGGGCGTCCATCAGACTCATCTGAGTGGTAGCTGACACAGCTGTCAGCTACTACATTTACATACAGGCTCTTTAAATGTGCACTGAATTTGTATTCTAAATAGGGATCCGACACGTCGTCCCGAACTGTCTGTTTGATCTTGTTTGATCTTTATACCATGACGTGATCCTCCGTTATTTTCTCGTTGACATCCCTTATGGATGTTTTGTTGCTGAAACTTGTTTTCTGGTCCCAAATATCAACCATGTCAGCAACTCGGAGTTTCAACTTAAAACTGTCCATCTTTTGAGCATACAGTGGTTTAACACACAGACTAATTATAAGACTAACATCACAAGAACAACCTGAATAGATGAGCAAACAAAATAAAAGGGCAGAGGTCACTTCAAAACTCAAAACACTGTTTGACAAGCAGTAACACAGACAATAAAGGGCCTCATATCTGCAGGGAGGCCGCCAATTAAAGTTACTGTGTAAAGATGGGTCCAATAGCATGATCCTCTCTTTGTGTGCAGCTCTAATTTAAAACAACTGCCTAAATCTGCTCCAGTTATCAGGTTCAGGCTGTTTTGTGAAGGTGAAAATCAACTTAATAAGTTTACCCAGAGTTTATTAATCTAGCTACAAGCCTGTTCAAATAAAAGCACAAGTATTCACAGCAATGGACAATCACAAACATGCAAAGTAATTCTTATTCTGTCCCAAGTCCACTGTGGTTTGCACTGCTGACACATCGTGGTGGGTCTCATTACTGTCAACGATCAGGAGTGATCGTTGACTTCAGGAGAAAACAGCACAGTCATTCACCACTCATCATTAACAGCAGTGCTGTGGAGACAGTCAGCATCATCAAATTCCCTGCAGTAAATGGCCTGTATTCATATAGCGCTTTACTAGTCCCTAAGGACCCCAAAGAGCTTTACATATCCAGTCATCCCGGCTACATTTCACTGTGTGTTATACTTGTATAACTATGCATGTGACAAATAAAGAACCTTGAACCTTCACACATTCACACACACATTCACACACTGGTGATGGCAGCTACATTGTAGCCACAGCCACCCTGGGGCGCACTGACAGAGGCGAGGCTGCCGGACACTGGTGCCACCGGGCCCTCTGACCACCACCAGTAGGCAACGGGTGAAGTGTCTTGCCCAAGGCCCCTTGACCGAGACTGTCCAAGCCGGGGCTCGAACCGGCAACCTTCCGATTACAAGGCGAACTCCCAACTCTTGAGCCACGATCGCCCCCAAATTCCCTGCAGTACAGATAAATGATCGTCCGGACTGGTCACTGAACACATTAACACTGGTTGAACGGGCTCAGCAGCACCTGCACTTCATGTGCTGGTTAAGGAGAGCACACCTTTCCCTTACCATCCACCCATTTAGGACATCACACACAAACATCTCAGTAGAGCCCATAACATCATCAGAGACTCCGCCCAGCTTGACCACGCAGTGTTCTCCCCGCTGCTCTCTGAGAAGAGGTTTTGGAGCATCAGGACCAGGACAGCCAGATTCTGCAACAGTTTCATTCTCAAAGCCATCAGACTCTTGAACCCTCGATAACCCTGCAGCATCAGTCCCCAGCTACTTCCCCCCTCCCGTCTCTCCATACATGTATAAAGCACATTCTGAAACTGGACTGGTAGGGACTCTATATTTAGGTCAGTGTAATATTTCTGGAATGGTGAATGTACACTGTTATTCTGTTGCTACACTGCTGTGAAATATATTTATTTCAAAGATCCTGTATAGTTTTTCTTTTCCTATTATACATATATAGGCACATTTTCTCACATCTCAGGTTCTTTTATATTTTGATTTATATAATCTAATGTGCACTAACTGGTTTGCTTGACTGCTTTACTTCTTAAAGGTGGTCACGAGGGAAAGATAAAAACATCAGAGCTTCTTACAACCCGCGTACAGAGGTCTGACATATCTCATCATGCACGTGACCTCCACCTGAGCAGGTTAGATCTGCTGCATGAGTTACCATGGCGATGTACCACACTTGGTAACAGTGACACGCTGGGTTAACCCTGAAGTTACCTCGCTCAGCCCCAAATCCTGCTTCGTGGTACAGGCCTCTGATGGATTCCTTAAATTCAAAGCTATAGATCCAAAAGTATTAAAGAAAAACTCTCTAAACTTTCTATGCTCGCAAAACAAACTGAAAGGATTAACTGATGATAAAAACTAAGCCACGCACAGTCAGTCTGTAGCAAGCTAACGTGAAGGGTTTACTCAGAAAGCTGAAAATAGAAACGAAACACATATAAAAACCCACTCCGGTTAGTTAGGAAGCTAAGGTAAAGTTAGCTAGTAAAACCTCCAACCTGTTAACCTGTTCACGGCTAGCAGCCTGCAGGTAATTAGCTAAGCTCAGACTGATAACTAACTGCGTGCTCAGCTAAAGTTACCTGTTAGCTGTCACTTATTCACAGAGTTTAGCAGCGCGGCAATGAATGGACGCGTTAACACAACGTGTCAAACCAGCCGGTGCCTTCAAACCCGTCCCCCCGGGACCGGAACACCAGCATCGAACTACCGAACAGGAAACAGGCGACATGACCCCGCTCACCTCTCAGAATCACTGTCCCCAACGGTTCACAGCCATCACATCAGAGTCACCACAGCAGCTTCCCACAGTTCCTGCTACCAAACGTTTTCTCAGCATCTGTGTCAGACAGGAAGTGACGCAGATTGTTTTCCTTCAGCGTGACGCATGTGACGTGCAATGAGGGTTGGCTGTTTACATCGCCCCCTGGTGGGCACCAAAGAGCAATGCCTAATTTCTTTACATTTTCCACAAAAAGATGGAATTAAATACAGTATATAAGGCAAACTCACTAATGAGTTTTAAAGTCAGTGATTGGTATGACTACTTTCAATCTTGAACACAATCTGAACTCTTTGGGAATTTTCTTCTCATTTTTGTAAGGTGTCTTGAGGAATAACTCTCCAGGCTTGTTGAAGGACACTAAACACTCTTTACTGGATGTTGGCTGTCTCTTGTCCTGTTCTCTGCCAAGATGATGCCGCTACGTTTCAACAGTCCAGGTTCTTGTGAGGCCAGTCCATAACTGATATTTTCAGGTATGCTTTTATTGCATTGGCAGTGTACTGGGTTCATGCTGCACATTTATTGAGATATAAACAGGTACTCCAGTTAGGGGACTTGTCTGTTTGCACCACTGCCTGGTGGGCATCAAAGCCCAAAGGAAACAGTCCCTATGGCAGCTGGGATAGGCTCTCAGACGTTTGTAATGAGTGCTCAGCAGTGTTCTTACCTTTATTGTGTGTGTGATCTGAAAACACACACGTACACAAATAAGACTGTTTTGATATGTTGGTGAGTTTGTATGGAAGGAGCTTTTGTGCATTTTGTATTTAGATGTTTGTGAAAAAAAGAAGGTTCTAAGAAATGTGTCTTTGCAGGAGTGAAAAACTAATGTGCAAAGCATAATCAGCTTCATTGTGGTTTCCCGGTCAAAGGAGACCTTCTTTTCCTCAAGAACGATAAAATTTGAATGCTTTCTTTGTTATTAGAGAACTGTTTGAACATCCACTCGAGTAGCCTGGATCCCGTCTGCTACAGTATTTGTCATCTTAATGCTTTCATGATATTTGCTGAATAGTACATTTCTCCAAGAATGAAGGACCTCTAATAAACATATTCTTCCAAGTAACATAACCTCTTAAAGGTGGGAAGCTCTGTAATCTCAGGACAAAGAGCATTTCATAACATTGATTAATACTGAAGCAATCAAGCTGGCTCACTATTGTATACACAAATACTTTTTTAAAGGCTCCGTTTGTGTTTATCATAGCTTTACTGTTTGCTTTATCTATGACAAACTAATTATGGCTTTTAATCATTTTTGATTAAACTGAAGCTACATCCAGTGAGCTGTTTTCATCATCACGTTGGGCTTTTAGTATCAGCCTCAAGGCTTCAGCAGCGGTGGGAAAAGTCAGAATTAAAATATTTAAAAAAAAAGATAGATACTATATTTATTCATATAAATGACTCTGCCTGGTCACTTCTAATTAAACTGGTGAAAAATAAACCAAAAATCAAGCACGGTATCAATGATGACACTTCAACAAATACAATTTCTTGGAAAATGAAATTTATATATAAAAACAATCTCCATGACACACACAGAAGGCTAACGAGGATTCTCATACATGAAATTAGATACAATACTTTTCAAAATGATCCTTTACAAGTCTGCGAGAGCGCTGTAAATATTAAAATGGCCAGAAAGCCCATCCTCTGTCAGTCGGTTGGTTGGTTCGAGGGTCAGCTCCTCATAGATTTGTCTCTACTGTCCTCCCTCTTGCTTTCTTTTCTTCTCCATCACTATGCTGCAGCTCTAATTTGAACATATCAGTATTTTTTGTTATTAAATTCTATAATTCCCTGCTTTTTCCTGCTTACAGCCCCTGACCGAGCCCCAACACACATTCACAATTAGCTGAATTCTTATCATTTCTCTCTCCTATTTTGGCTTCCTTAGTTTTATTAGAAATCCCACAAGTAAGACACTCTACCCTCCTGCTCCCATGAGCAATCTGACCGCCAATACAACCTCCTCACCTTAATCTTTCTGCTGCTTTTATAAACTTCCCGATAAAGTGTTCTTCTCTGTGTTCTGCGTCTGGTTTTTGGTCGGTAATGTTCCTGTTTCTGCTCCAAAGAACCTCTCCTGGTCTCTGAATGTATTATCTGCATTGACTGAGTGGATATGTTATCAGTCTGTGTGTGCTGTAAACCCACTGGCTTCATTTTTAAACACAGCATTAACAGTGTGCAGAGCAGAGACGGTTTCGCTTGTATCTGACCCGTTTATTCTAAATAAAAACGAAACTCCGTCTGGACTCATGGTGTGAAACTAAGCACAACACTTGATCTTAGATGTAAAGCATAAAATAAATATTTTATGGCTTAAGCAACAATAAATAATCTGTTACATGACGTATCAAGCAGCAGTAATACTCGCTGTACCACTCAGGGTACTCTTTGTAATGGCTTGCCTTCTCCTTCCTGGAACTACAATTTCATCTTTATTGTAAACCCATCACGGGTTTCAGCTTCGAGCTCTAATAAATAATATTCTACAGCTCGAATCTACACTCACATTAGGAAAAGTATGTAAAGATGCTACATAATGGATCAGGTCAGCTCTGTTGAAATGTCAGTGTTCAGATGAGGGGAAATCTTTTTAATCCACCTGTAAGACAAACACAGAGAGCAACCCGACAATCTTACACTGCTGTAGAGCACAACAGCTGCCCCCCCGACCATCCAATAAACTATTAACCCTTTACATCATAAACCTTTTTTTTTTACAGCATCATGGCCAAATGTATGTGGACACCCAAACCCAATGCCCCTAACAACAGCCTCTGCTCTTCTAGTTTTGTAGTTGTGTCCATCAAACTGGATGGACATTTGCACACACGAGATCCATCGCTAACACAGCTCCTCTGCACAGCGCTGGCAGTAGCTTTTCTATTCGTCTGCAAAATGCTACTAAATGGGTAAAACGAGTAATTCTCAGCATTTAAAGAAGATCTGTTGGGCTGATGTCCAAATGCAGTTTAAGTCTTGAGCTCTAGAGTTGCTGTGCAAGGTTCACAGATCAAATTAACTAATATTTCATTAAGATAAAGGTAAATAAACTGTTTTAGCTCCCTTTAAGTAAAAAAAAAAGTGTTTAAGAGCTTTTGGCTCACAGGGTTTTAGGCAACTTGAGCCACATTAAAGAGAAGATAAGGAAAGTTCTTCTTAATGAAAAACCTAAAAATGAGAAAAGAAACACACAAAGTAAAAACAGAAAAGAAAGTCCATCCTTGTTTGAGTTTCAGCTGATCTTTGATTTTTGACCAACTAACATGATAAGAAAGAAACTTTCATTTCAGCATCTGCATTTTCTTTCTGAGTTAAAAATATCGTAATCATGTCATTTGATTCCCCTTAGTGGGATTGGGTTAAAAATGCAGAGCACACTGTTTCCATGGTTAAAATGGCCAAAAACCCCTTAAAAACTGCCCGGTGACAAAAAGAGGCATCGAGTCTGTCCACATACTTTTGGCCGTAGTTCTTAATTCTGAATCGCTAACACGGATAAGGTCACAGGCGAGGTGACGTGTGCGTGATTATACAGTATGATCCACCTTACAGTATTCTGTTACAATGACACCGTAAAAGAATAGATAATCTGGGAAAAATAGTCTATGGGATATGTGAAAACTGCAGATCTGCACTCGGAATTCAAGATCAGAAGGAATAAAAAAGCTAAAACTTTTCACTTGCTATTCTAATGAAGGGCACAGATGGTAAACTACAGAGAAATGCTGCCGCCGTGATCTGGATGAAGCCACTTAGTCCCTTTTCCGTGTCTGACCCCGGAGTCTTTGGGAGTTACCGGCTGGCTGGCTGACACGTGCGCTTCCAAACATCACTGCGTAGCCCTTCACCATTCTCAATGGTCTGCCCATATTTGGTCTTTAAAAGTCAGTATTCATGTGTAAAAAAATATAAAATCAACTCACAGACAACAAAGTCCAGCTGGAAGTCGGAATAATTCCAGTTTAAATGTTTTAACATTTGCTTTTTGGTATGGAATGGAGAAAAAAAAAAAAGGGGGGGGGGACTTGTAGTGCCTGGGAATCAGAGATGTTTGGAGTACAGCTGCTGTTACCTGATTGTGCTTTTCACAGAGGATTCATGATATAAACACTCGCTAGGAATCTCAACTGGCCTGAGTGGAGGCTCAATGGCATCAACCAGGATGGATGATGAGGATGAAGGTTGAGGAAAGACGCCTGGAGAGCAGTCTGACGAAAAGGGAAACATCTGAGAGACTGGGTGAGTATTGCACATCAAGTATAGCCGTCTTTTGCGACTGCTTCAGTTGATGTTTCAGGACGTTTTTAGGGCAGCTGTGCAGAAAGGATTGAAACGCTGAGGAGACAGGGCCGTCAAACCCTCGACCTTGAACCCTCTGCATGCAGGAACTGCACTAAAGCAGCTTCTCGTATAACTTCAAAAGACGATTGGGCGTACCTGCCGCACAACCAAAATCCCCAAAGTCCAGAACCCGAAAAATGAGAACAGGAGGAAAAAAAAAATAGAGGAGAAACTTTGAGCCAGCCTCTCTTTGTTTGGGCTCCAACAGCAGCTGATGGTGATCCTGGAGGAGTCTGCTGCTAGCCCAGCTGTATCTGTCCAGAGTACGTCGTCAGGAGGAGCATGATGGAGAAGCCCGTCAGCAGGCCGGCGTTCTGGATGCCAAAGGTGAGGAGGAAGCTGCTGCCGCCTGCATCCTCTTCCTCACGACTCACCTCGTTCATCTCTGGAAACTGTGACACATAAAACAAAGTGTCACTTCGTAAGTATTTAACGAGTAAACAAGAACAGCTCGACCTTATTCAGCTCAGTCACACCAACTACTACTCATTATCTTACCCCTCATTCAAATTGTTCAATCTTTCAAAGTCCAACACATAAAATATTTACAAGGACTCTCCCCTTTCCTAACCAGCTGTTCAAACCTTCTGTTTGTAATAAACAGCCAATCAGAAGAAAGCTGGCTTAGAGTGGGAGGAGCAAAAACAGCTTGTTTCAGAGAGAGGGTAAGCTGGGAGGCAATCAAGACTAAGATGAGAAAGAATCATTCAGGATTATTTTTCTCATTTATGGGTCCAAGAATAAAAAATGTGAATCTGAAAATGAGCAGCAGAGCTCCGCCTCAGGTCAGCTGTCAGCTTAATCGCACGTTTCAATATACATATATTAACACAACCTAACGTGAAGGATGTAACAAAAACTGCAAAAGCAAACTGATGAGCAATCAGTGTACAGACTGTATAGTACAAATCATTTATTTCATTAGGCACCTTTTAAGTTTATTACATAGAAACATAATGCACAGCTTTTAAACTTTCTTTGAAATATGACTCTTGGACATCCTGTACAGCGTCTGACAGTGAGAATTTAAAAAAGACTTTTACCGCTACAAATAAATTCTGTACTTCTGATTGGATTGTTACTTGTTTATTATTTTTATTTCTCAGCATAACCAACTAAACAGCAACACGAGAACATATTTCAAAAGCCCACTACCTCAAGAGACCCATCTGTGTTGATTTAACCTCATAGTTCACAAATCACTGACCATGTCTGCCAGAGCGATGTAGAGGAACATTCCTCCTGCCAGGGCGAAGATCCAGTTGGGAGAGAAGCTGTTACCGGCCAGGATGCCAAAGCCCATGCCCAGGTAGCAGCAGCAGGCCGACAGGAAGTTAAAGAAGAGAGCCTGCTGTATGCTCATGCCGGCGTTCAGCAGGATCACAAAGTCTCCTGGTAGCAGGAAAACATGCAACAGAGTCAGAACAGCTGACGTTTCAAGTAGTTTGTTTTGTGACAGCAAACAAAACACATCCATTAAATTCATTAAGAAATGTTCTTATACTAAAGGGCCAAAAGGAAAGTAGCTGGGGTTAAGCTTGCAGCCTGATTATCTCGGCATTAGGGACACCCGCCCGCTCAGAGTCCGCCCTGACTCACCCAGCTCATGGGGGAACTCCTCGCACAGGATCGCCACAGAGGTGCTGATGCCCTGGAAAACAGAGGCGGTGAACGAGGCCCCGATGGCCAAGCCGTCAATAAAGTTGTGCAGGCCGTCGCTCAGTGTGATCATCCAGGCCAGCGTGCCGATATCAGAGTAGGTCGTCCCCTTCAGCCAATAGCAGCCGCCACCACTGGTGCCTGACCGGCCACCGCTGTCTGGACTCTGAGAGTCCTGGAAGGAGCGGAGGGAGAGAAACCGGTGGTTCCCACTTTGTAAGTTAAATTTCTTTAGATCTGATTATTTCAACAAGAGTGATTTTGTTGTTTTTAGGTGTGAACCTCCAGTCATAAACTGACACTGTCCACATATACAAAAGTTAATTCCCATTTTCATTTTCTGCGTTCCTCTTCTTTTAAAAGTCCAGCAGACAAGCTGCTCTTTAAGCTGTTACATCCATACCTGTGGAGTCTGTGCAGGGCTGAGCATGAGCTCGCCCTCCCCTGCGTCCACTTTGCCCAGAGCCAGGCTGCTGGCTTCTCCGTTCTGCTGCAGCTTCTCCTTCTCCCCCTCCTCCAAATCCCTGTCAGGGGTTGAGTAATGATCTGCACCGGGGTAGTGGCTGTGGCCGTGGCTCTGAGAGACAGGCGGGGAAAAACTCAGCACATTCTGATTATTGTGAGCAGCATCTTCCTGACAGGTGAAATAACCTCAACATCTGGTTAAGAGGAGGTGCAGATAAGAGATCTGACTTAAAAGTTGAAGATGTTCCTTTTTGCTTTTGTCGTATTTGCTGGGACTGAACAGCTGAAAAGGCCGACCACGTGATTTTAACCATTTTCTCCTTCAGTGACTCAATGAGGTCGAGTTCTGTGAACTGTCTGCAAAGCCAACGAGGAATGAAATCTGCTCAAAAGCCTGCAACAAAGTCGCGAGGAAACCACAGCACAAAGTCACTGTTTCACTCAAGGACACGACACCAGATCCGGAGCTCCTTCAGCTCGTAAAATTGTTAGCAGTTAACTAGGTTGGACTGTAAAAGAGCAACCACAAGGTGGAGCAACGGTCCCACAATCACACCCCACAGTTTCTTTTATTGGCTTGTCATTTAAAATTTTAGATTTAAAATCGAGGAAAATCTACAAAACGAGTGCTGCATCTGTGCAAAGTTATTGTTTTTAACACTGAAACCGTTAAAGTATCCACTCTGAGGCTTTTCGGCTTTAAGGAATTTAATTTTCTAAGAGCCGATGACAGGACACCCTGCTGTATCTTTTTATAATGGAGAATTTTGAAATACAAACACATGCTACACACCACCTATCAAATCGCACCACAGCACTGGCTGCAATATTCAGTGTCTACAGCTTATATAGGTATGCATATATAGAAAACAAGCTTTGCGTATTTGAGTTTATGGTGTTAATCTTTCAAATATTTTACTGCTTTCACAAAACAATGTGTAAAAGAAGAAGAGGGTGAAAGCGGTCGCAGGCAGCTCAACATATTTAATAACTGATATTTAATTAGCAGCGACATCTGAGTGACTGAAGCTGTTAATTTATAGAATTTCACCTGATAAACTAACCAGCTCACTGGTTAAACACCCATGTGTGTCTAACCTAAGTTCTTCTCCTCACTGCCGGATAAAACTTTTCTGCCGCAGTTGTTCCCACTTCCGAGGTGCGCAGGGAGGAGAGGATGAAGATCCAGGTGGTGTGAACTACGACCTCTCCGTGAGCTTCTACAGCAATTCAAATATTTTATTTACCTTTTCGGAGAACCTTTTATCAGGCATCTTCTAACACATGAGCGCATCTAAGGTAATAAATGATTTATTCCAAATATTTTCATTTATTTTTTAAAATGTCTTTTTAAGTGGATCTTTCTGAGCAGTTGCACTTCTCCCGTTTACAGACCACATATTTCACCATCAAGGTTTTCTATTGGTCGCTCCCCTTCGTCAGCACCAATGACTGGGAATATATCACGTGACCAAATGTCCATGACGCGCCATGTGGTGCCTCATTGGCTGTTACGTGTGTGGAGTTAAATGATTGGCTCTTTTTCTTTTTTTTTTTTTCTTTTTTTAAACGTCTCTATCGATCTCATGCCACGATGAAGGCAAAAACACGAATGTCTGTCAGCAAAATCCTCTTTTGAGTGATTAAATTATTCTTCAAAGTCACGGAAAACAAGAATGTTCAGGTCATCTCGCCTTCCTATTATGTCTAAAGGTCACGAGAACATTTTCAGGTGTCTCATTTTTCACTTTAGTACAGTATGTACAACAGAGACTACAGTGCATAATGTACACTGTATTAGCAGCACCTCCGGCTTCAACTCCAGCTAGTGACTTTGCAAACCTCTGTGTCAGTCAACAGATGGGATCAAACACGCGGTTTGTAAACTGCCTGCAGCGTTGAATCATCGCTTTCCCAGTTCTTTCTCTCAGTTACTGAGACGACAACACCCTGTCCAACTAGTGTAACCTGCTGCTGCTGCTGACAATAAATATTTCATTGTGTGGCGTGACCACAGCAAAGACGAATCAGAAACATTAGATGCTAGCCTGAGAAACACATGAAGGAGTAACCAGGGATAAACTATTCCCCACTCAGCAGAAACATGACGAGAAGACACTTCAAGCCTTGCCAGGTGTCTGAACAGCTTTAAAATTCGGTTAAAATAGTGAACAGAGCACAGCCCAGGCTTTTGCAACACACCGTGAACCACATTTGAAAATAATTACTCTTTCTCAACATTTGCACGTACTTTCTGTAATCTTGGTGACTGGTTTGAACGACAGCGACTATCTAACAATAAAATAAAATAAAACACAATGAAGTCAATTTGTATCACTCTTGGTATACACTCACCCCGTTTTTTTGCTTTAGGAGCACTTTGAGAACTTTTTCAGTGAAGAAGAAGAGGTAAAAGCCTCCGAACACCACGGCGGACTTGGACACGTAGAAATCGACCATTGGGTCAAATCCAAAGGCCTAGCATGCAGAAGAAGATGATGTTAACACGTGCAGCAATGTGTTACAATAAAGAATGCTTTCATGAAGGGCAGTGGTTCAGGATCAGAGGTCCGAATCAGGATCAGAGGGCCCCGATCCAGGATCAGAGGGCCCCGATCCAGGATCAGAGGGCCTGAATCAGGATCAGAGGGCCTGAATCAGGATCAGAGGGCCTGAATCAGGATCAGAGGCCCCGAATCAGGATCAGAGGGC